GTGCATGCCGTAGTCGTTAGACCATTGACCTCGCATCCCTACAAAGCCGGGACGGAGCACGCCGGGTTCTCACCGGACCAGGCTCTAACACCGATGGGGGGGCTTGTTTTACAACGTCGTTGCCAAGCGACGAAAACCCAACCCCGATGGCAAACACCGGGGGGCTTGGGTCTGGCGGTGCAAATAAATGGACATGCCTTCTTGTAAAAACGCCTCGATTGGTAGAGAACAGAAGCAGTAGTACATGATTTTCCCACTTCTGCCCTCGCTTCATCAGTCCTGACCAGTCCCCCCTGTAGTTTGTAGTAGTATCCGGTGATGGAGCGCTTGTTTTTGCGTGAACATAGCATACATGCCCGCACGGGTGGCCAACAGACCGGGTTGTAGGGGCACTTTTGCCAACCTGAATCGAGATTATTTTGGCACGAGTTGCAACCTCCCCACCTTGGGTAATCCTCGCAATGCAACGATGACCAGGTTGCGCAAGATATATACCTCTCTTGGTGGTTGTGCACTGTTTACAAGTCGGACAGGGGGCAGGTTGCGAATGGTAGTGCAAGGTGTACCCTTCCTTGGTGATTGCACTGCTAACAAGCTGGACAGGGGGCGGACTGTCGATGGCGGCGCAAGGTGTACCCTTTCTTGGTGGTTGGTGCGCTGCTATCAAGCCGGATAGGGACCAAGCTGTCGATGGCGGTACAAGGTGTACCATTTCCTGTGGTTGGTGCACTGCTTACAAGCCGGACAGCGGGTAGGCTGCCGATGTCAGCGCAAGGTGTACCCTTTTTTTGCAGGTTAGCGCGCTTCGCACAAGCCGGTTGGGGGGCAGGTTGCCGGCAACAGTGCAAGGTGCACCCTTTCTTGCAGGTTGACGCGTTGCGCACAAGCCGATGAGGGGGCAGGTTGCCGATGGTATTGCAATGCGTACCCTCTCTTACAGATTGCGCACGATGCGGCCGGTCTACAACAAACTGCAGTGCTCTATGCTGTGAAGTGGCGGGTTCAATCCCCTGCACCAAGTTTTTTTGTTCATATTTCATTTGTTTTTTCGCCCCTGTATTCGAATCGCTACAATTTTTACCGTCGGTACATTCCCGAGCAAACTTCTGAAACAACATCCCGTGCCCTTGAATCATACACATTGCCAGCAACTCTAGCTTAAACCCATCTCCGCCCGCGGCTTATCATCTCTACCGAGGGTCGTCAACATCCCAAGTTGCACGATTACATGTAAGCGAGAACCATAAAAGGTACTTCAAATTGAAACAACACATAACATACCCTTCCGAACGTCGTTCTGTATATTGAATGTCCCCCCACAACAGCATGCCCTCGCACATGACCGTCAGCGACGTCGATCATGGAGACGACCCACAACCCCCGCAACAAACAACCTTTGTTTGTTGTGAGGAAACACCGCTCAGCCGGAGACAACAGCTGCACGTAGCGGCAGCAGTCTTGTCCAAACGCAGAGGTAGAAACGACCGTCTCTCCCGACACGAGACACAGAACCCCCCCCCCGCCCCGGCCGTCCCAAATTCCACAACTAACTCTAGTCAAGAAAAAATGTCATTGCCTGAGACGGAGCCAGCTGCGACAGCGGTGTCCTCCAAAAACAATGCAGAGACTGCAGAAGAAATAGACCGCTTTACGTTCCCAACACCATCGAAACAACTCCCTCCCCCCTTCCCTCCCCCAAAAGCCACAATTCGCTCGGACATCAAAACGGCGCGGACGAAGCCAAGAGGCAGCAGCGACAGATTCCAAACGCCCTGGCACACACAGCACAGTAAGAAAACACTTAGAGTAAACCGGCCAATTAACGAACGCTTAAGCCACCCCTCGCGCC